GATGTGCAGCGTCTGTCCAAGGTGAAGCATCCTGCGAATCCCTGGTCTGAGCACCCCAAACCCCAGAACCCAAAGCCTACAGTAGAAGCCAGAAAGTTGGAACCTCACTATCCTCATGGCCGTAATGTAAAGGTAAAAAATTGTTGATCCCAGCAGTAATCATCCTAAATCCATGTTCCAACTTTCAGGGGTTCACTACAAAGTTGATACTCCGAGAATGCTAAACGATCCTACTTGCAGGTTCCTGGGTAGTTAAAAGTGGGTGGTGGCTGTGAATACAGCTCATATGAATCAGCGGACTTATAACCCTGTGTATAACTACCCATGAACCTCCAAGTAGAACCTGAACTTAGGCCCTACGCCCCGTGAGGCTCCGACCCTTGTGTGCAACCGTTGCTCAACCGACTTCTGTCAGGTTCGATGAAAGGCTCAAAAGACTTGTGTGAGGGTTCTAAAGGAACAGGCTAAACCCTAAACCCTAAATCACGAAGCCCCTAAACCCTAATGTTGCACCGAGGTCCTAAGCCCTAATATAGACAAATGAGTGTACGAATAGTATCAATCCAGGTTCTTTATTGTATTCATGCTCCAGTATACACCGAAACCCGATTCAATTTGTGAGCGCCCTGTATGCACCCTTACACTATTCTCCCGTATAGTAGCCCTTCAACAACAACGCTTTCAAGGGAACCCACCCATTCTATTGGTCCACTTATATTGAACTCCCATAAACCCGAAACCCGTAAACCCTGAACCTTGAATCCCCAAAACCAACAACTCTCAAACCCCACTCAACCCTCTATACTGGCTTGGACAAGGTCCCGGTCGCCAGCAAGGTTTCTCATGATCCGGAGGATGAGTACCTCACGGAGCTGTTTCAGGTGGGGTTTTTAGGAGCTATCCAAAGGGTTCTAAGTACCTTTCTAGTAGAATGCTAGGGATAGTAGGAGTTGCTCTGTATGATTTGGGCACAGAGGGGTCAGGGTGTCCTTTGAGGGTTCCGGCTTCAGGGCTTTCAGGGATCTACTTGGAGGGTCGGGGGACTTAGTAAGTAGGTAGTAAGCTGACTTATAAGTACCCTAAAAGGGACCCTGATTGGGTTATGGTACTTATAAGTCCCTAAAAATAACCAATTACTAAGTCCCCCGACCCTCCAAGTAGCAGCCTAAACCGTAAACCCTAGGCCCGTTTAGGGTTTAGGGTTCTGTGGCTGTTTCGGGGCGGCGCTGATTGTAGGATCTACGGTGCTTTGAAGGGGTCCAGAAGTGATGAGGATTCCTGTGAGGGTTCGGGAGATTATGCACCACCTTTGGAAGACGACGACTGGATGGATTACTTCTGTGTTGCCTGATGCGGAGGCTTTGCCTCGGATTTGGAGATCGTTCAATGGACACCCTTGCATGGCAAATCATGCGGTCAAATCGCGAGCTAATTGGATGCAAAGGGCTATTCCCCTTTGCATACACGGCGACGAAGTTCCTGTTTTTGGAGTGGGCAAGATATGGGCTCGCAGTGTTTTGGCTTTTTCATGGGTATCGCTGATGGCCACAGCGGCCGGCCGATCTGCTGCCGATTGCAACCTCTACATTTGGGGCGTTTTTGAGAAGTTCATTATTCCGGCTGGCGGCGAGGTGGCTGGGACAATGGAAACTTTTTGGCAAGTGATGTATTGGTCTTTCAACATTCTTTACACCGGTAAATGGACTGCTCGGGATTGGCAAGGCAAGAAGCAGCCTGGTGTTGCTGTATATGTACACATGTGCCAGAAATCTGGAAACCCTTACATTTTAGGACCCTGTGGGAACCCTATAAGCTGTAAGCCTTTTTGTCTTTCTTGATTTTTTATGATGTGGGTCCTGTTTTAGATATGTGACTATATACATACACACCCTATGTATGAGAGCCCTGTTCTCAAATGCCCCGCTCCCCGAGCCTTCAACCCGGAACCCGGACGGGCTCTAGGGTTCGGGGCCTGAAAGGCTTGGGGTTCCTAGTAGTAGAGCAGGCAAGCTTTAACCTTTTTTGGGGGTATAGCCCCTATATGATCCCTACAAAACCAAAAAGGTTAACCTTTAGTTCCCCATGATACCCGACAAGTAGGGGTTTTATAGGTTTAGCGTTTAGGAAAGTTTAGGGTTTCGTGGTTTGGGGCTTCCGGGCTTAGGATGTGGAGGGTCCAAGGCTTAGGTAAACCCCAACCCCTAGCATGGAGGTCGCAATAGTACAGGGCCTCACTGTGTCAAATCATAGGGGCTCGGTGCTCATTATCATTTCGAAGGGTTACATCGGAATTCTTGTTCCTTTAGAATTCCCATATTAAAGTTCTGTTATAAAGTCTATTCCAAACAGGAAGCACAAAAAGCCCAAAACCTCAAAGTCCTTTAAACCCGAAGACCGCAAGGCTCTGTAGAACCCATTAAAGACATGCTGCAACCCGACAACTGTTCCTCTCCAGGAGGACGCATGTTACTTCGAGGAGCATGGCTGCTATCCGCCCGACTACTGAGCTTTTCTACAGCTTTAAGTGTTTAGGTGTTCAAGATCAATTATTCGAGGGTTTGTCTCAGCTCCGGCATTTCGGGGTGCAGTCTGCCACGTTTCAGGAAAGCCACGTCTCAAGAGAAACTGACGTTTCAGAGGCTTCCTCTTAAAAATTTAAAGCTTTGCAACAGCACACAAGGCCCAATTTGAAGGCCCATGAAGGTGTGAGTCATCACAGCGCAGCATTGCATGCGACACCTTGTGTACAGCCAGCTTCATCTTAAGCAAGTCGTGCCGCATCCTCACATCCCTAGGGCTCCAAGTATACTATAGCATCCCAAATAGTTACCAACACTATTTTGGGTGTTTCCCTAGTGGGCTCTAAAACCCTTTTCTAATTATTAAGGCCCCTATATGGCAGTGGTACTTAATTTGAGATCACAAATAATTCACGCGCCATAGAAGTTCAATATATAGTATATGGGCCTCAATACGTTATTGTCTATACTACTTTGGGGTGCTCCTTATTACAATATACCCAGACCCTATTCTAATTGTAGAGGCCCCAACATCATAGCACCCTTATAGATCCCTTATAGTAATCCGTATAGACCCCTTTAAAGGGAACCCTATTCTAACTATTCAGGCCCGTACATTAAGTACCCTTGTGGGGGCTGCTTGGAGCTTTTGGGGGCGCGAGGTATCGAGCATGTTTCCAGCACAATACTCTCGACCGCTGAACGCTACTGTTGATGATTTTAAATCCTGCATTACCTTAAGGGCCTCAAGCTATGGGAATGGTGGCATGTTCCTCATGATGGTAATATAGGAACCTGATTAGGAAACCTTGGGTCTTTATTAGGGTTCCTTATGTCCTTATATGAAGTCTGATATACTGGAGTGATAGGGCCTGACCACTGAATGCCAGGTAATTATCGATTTTGGGCAATTCTTAATGTATACATAGCTTGCATGGTGTTTCATGCAGGTCTTGTAACTTTCTTAGTTAATATGTTCGTCTGTCTGGTGCTTAGTAGGGAATGGGGGAGTGGATCCATCTATTATTAGTCCATAAATGATCCCCAATACTAGTCCCCGTAACCCATTCCCCCATTCCCTACTAAGAACCAGACAGTGAATGCTAGACATCCGGGATGTTTGTTATTTTCCCTTGTTGCTTTCTTGTAAAGCCCTAATTATAAACAACTTTGGGGACTGTTGAAATCGACACCTACTTGGAGGTTCATGGGTGGTTATAAGTGGAGTTATAAGTCCCCAACCCTAATATAGCCCTACTGTACTTACAACTGTAGGGTTTTTACTACCCATGAACCCCCAAGTAGTCAAGGTTTGGGGTTTAGGGTCCTCAAGTTTGTGCAACTTGCATAGGACCCTCATTGCAGCGTGTGTCCAGAGGGCGGTGCTGGATGCATTTCTTGCCAACAGACGTGTACAGGAAACCCATGTGACATAGACTGTGGACATTGACTGGATGATGGAAGCTAACGGGATCTTTGAAGGTGCCATGCCGTGCATGCAGAGACGTGCAAGCATGCGTTTGATGGCAGCAGGTCCTTTTAGGCGCCAACAGGCCAACGCCTCAAAATTTCAGGTAGATTTCGTTGGAGCTACGGTCAAAATTTGATTTGCAAGACCGGGCTTGCAGGGAACCACGAAAAGCACGGCAAGCTCAAGCCAGCAACCCTAAACCCTGCACCCCATACCCGTAAACCGTCAAATCTGAACCCTAAACCTTAAACCCTAAACCCTAAATCCCTGAAGCTACTTTTGGTGGCTCCTGCATGTCATCCCGGAATCCGTGCTCGGATACAGGCATCAACACACTCGCTCCTGGCACGGACAAAGAGGCGAGATCTGGGTTTCCCCTTCGACGTAATGAAAGTACAGCGCAACAAGGAATAATAAATCATCATACGGTTCCCAAAGGCTCCATTTGCCATTATAGTAGGTAGTTAATACCCTAAAGTATATACTATAAGATTACTTGTACCCTTTGGGGGTAGTAGTGATAACACAATCCTGTGTGTCTTCTAGCGTCGCGGCCTTGATCAATGGATCTTTCCACTTCCAACGCAGGTCTTTCAGTGCTGTCGGGGTGTAGGGGCGGACAAGCATGCTGTTGGGCCGTGGATTTGCTCATGACGTAACTCGATTCTCCCCTCTCTCTCTCTCTCTTTCTCTCTCTCTCTCTCTCTCTCTCTCTCTCTCTCTCTCTCCATCTCTCTCTCTCTCTCTCTGCCGTTTTTGGACCCTTCTCATCTTTCTACCTGTGCAGGTACAGGCAGACCTAGTGAGAGAATGTAGATAGAGATAGACCTCTACTTTGTCCGTCTACATGCCGCCGCTTTTTCCGGCAAGCCGCCCAGTGACGGAAGCATCCCTCGTGTAGCTCAGACATGCAACCTCCCTGCTATGCAAAGTTCGAATGTCAGGCAGGTATCTTCCACCTTCCGTAAGCCCCAACTGTTCGGCTGACTAGCCTTCCACCCGGATTGCAGATGATGTTCGTCACTTTTGCGGCACTTGGCACCGCCAGTCTGGTACTGAACACCGCGGCTGAGTCATGCAGACCGGGCCACTGCAACATTGCTAGGACTGTTTCGCCTGGCTGTTGGGTGTCCTAAACCCTATAAGCTGTACTGTAAAGCTCCTTGCGCGTTCTTACACAGCAACAACCGTGCTAAGAATGGAGCACTAAGAAAAGGTTGCTGGAAAAAGGCACTACATGTCAGGATGTCAGGGTGCAGGCCTAGGTTTTCGTTGGGGGTGTAGTAGTGTTTGAGGGTTCTGGGTTTAGGCTTTGGGGTTTTGTGCGCTTACGGCTTTTTAGAGTTCATAGCTTCAGGGTTTATGGTTTTAGGGTTCAGGCTTCAGGGCTTGGGTTTAAGGGTTTAGGGTCCAGGGTAGTTAAGGCTTCAGGGTTTTGGTTTTAGGGTTTTGGGCTTAAGGTTTAGTTGCCGGAGTCAGGGTGGCGTCCCGTCTGCTTTTGGCAGGGTTTGGTCGTACGGAGCATGTTCCAACCTTTCCCTAAACCCTAAACCCTTTCCCTAGGCCCACCCTCAACCCTGAACCCTGAACCGTCGTCCAAGGCCTCGCCCTAAATGTTGCACTGATTAAGCAATGAACAGCCTCAACCCAGACCTGACCTGGACCCTGAAGAACCTATATACCTTTTTAGGGTTCCGTATTGTGATTTCTTGATACAAGTCCTTAAAATCGTAGGTTCTTTAGGGTCTAGGTAGATCCTAAGGGTTTAGGGTTAAGTTGAGGCCTTAGTGGTCGGATTCCGGCTTTGGATCCTGGCTCTGATCAGCTTACACCCATTCCGTCCTAAACCCTAACCCAGCGGGTCCAAGTATTCCCTATTTTAGTACTTTAGGGCCTTTCTCGGTTTCAAAAACCATAAATAGGGACTACTTGGACCCTTAGGGTAAGCCCTGCTGCTCGAAATGGCCCGTAGTAGGTTCTATTTAAATGCTCGGCCCCCAAGAAAAGGTAATTTGCTAAACTTGCCTTAATTCCCAAACCCCAAACCCTAACCCTAAATCCCGAATCCTAACCCTAAAACCCTATTCCGAGAGGAGTTCGGGCAATTTCTTCGTGCAGACCCGTCGACAAAGCAGAGGCCAAGCCCTTCCCGACGTAGCTCGGCCAAGAGTGGCTTGAATAGTTTTGCTCATATAAAACCCAACAGAATATTGAGCATATTGCTTATAAGCTCACTGGGCCTTAATCCTAGATAGCCAAAGGCAGAACGTTAAACTTCTTGGCCTTGGCACAGAAAGTTAGAACTTGGTTGGACCCGGTTGCTGAAGAAGCGCGTTTACGTGGCCTTAATAAGAATCGGGCTCTCTTTGAACGGGCGTCTTTCGGGTTGCTGTGAAGGGTACTATGAAGGATGGGGTTTAGTATAGGGGGGAGGGCTCTTCAGACGGGGTCTATAGGGTTGCTAGCCGAAACCTAAGCGCTAAACGCTTAATAAAACTAGGGCGACTACTAAAGGTTCCCAAAGGAGGTCATCAGGGCTGCTGTGCAGAGTAGTACCAGGGTTTGTTATAGTACCCTAAGGGTCCAAGTAGTCCTTATTTATGGGTTTCGAAACCGACAAAGGCCTAAAGCATCAAACTATGGAGTACTTGGACCCTCTGGGAGACAGTATTCTACATAAACGTTGAAAGCAATCGTTGCAGAGTTTCTTGAACGGGTTCAAGAAGGGTTCTAGAATGGTTCAGAGTTTACGGGGGCCTGACACTTTTCCGAATGGGGTTAGTAATTCTGAGCAGGAACCTTGAGGAATAGTATTACTCATCATCCAGGCCCCTTGCATTACCGGGTGTTCGGTTTTGTAGGTGTTCAGGGTCGAAGAAGTCTGCGTTCAAGAGTGTAGCTCAGTTCCGGAATATGCTTTGGGTACCTCAGAGTGTATAGACTGTGCAACGGTCAGAATTCATTGAATGAAAAAACCATGTGCCCCCTGGTGTAGGGTTTAGATGCTAGAGGTTTACAGGCCAGTTTCATTCTTTCCGGGCTTAGTGTGTGCCTGTACAGGCCAGCTTGGCATTACACCCAGGAGCTGGACTATGACTTCGAGAACTTGGATTCAGCCACAGCCGAGCAGGATGTGAAGCATGAGGGCGGAGACTGGCCTCTTCTTCAACCCTAATACACCAGAGACTCCAAAACCCCTTAATTAAGGAGTATACCTTAAGTTTTGTCGGTATCCCATTATACAAGAAAGTATATTCCCTAACTTAGGAACCTGATTAAGACACCCAATTTGTTTTCATCAGGGCTCTGTTTATGAGACCCTACTGTTTTGGGGTTTGGGGCCCATGTTGCTTAGTCAGGCTCCTACATCAAACACCTAATCTTACCCGGGTGTTCCTTAGTAATTGTTTTTTACAGTAGGAAACCCAAGGAAACCTAGATTTGTTTTTGATCTACTTGGCTTCCGGTTACAGGGTCCTCTCAAGAGTTATTTGCTTAGGGCTGTAGGGTTTAGGTTTTAAAGGCGTGCTATGGCTGATGGTAAAAATCCTGCATTACCTTACTTAAGGACCATACACTATGAGAATTATGGTATATCCCTTATTATGGGTAGTGCAGATTTTTATCATAAACCTAAACCCTAAACCCTAAAACCCTATAGATGTCTTGAAGGAACTCCTAAAGGTATTCTTATAGATCCCTTAGAAGGAACCCTAGGATTTATATCATCAACCGTAGGACACATTCCCCCCTGATAGCCATCCGCTCCTGAGGATTTGCTTGAGTCTAGCCTAGGAGGTTCCAAGTACTCCCTTCAGGGCCTTTTTAGGGTTTAGGGTTACTCCTTATTATAGGACTTCAGGGCCTTTTGAAGTATCCAAACCATAACTATACAAGGACTACTTGGACCCTTAGCAAAGAGCCACTTGCACCATCGCTTGTAGGGCTGTACCGTGTTCGAATAGATGATAAAAATAATTATGATGGTAACAGTAGTTCTAAATCTACATATACATATCTATATGTACGTGTATATATATATATATATGCTCACGCCCCCCCCCCCTGATCCACCCGAACCTGCTTCTTGCAAACAGTGGATCATGGGAGGTGGGCAGCCTCGGATGCGAAAACACTGCCAGGCACCAATTTCCCCAAAGTTTGCAAAGGCGGAAGTGCGAAAACATCGACAGGCACCAATTTCCCCCAAAATCCCAAACTTTGAGCAACTGTGGCCCGGCACGCCTCATAGATGCCGGGATTTGGGGGATTTTGGGGAAATTGGAGCATAGCGAGGTTTTGGCACTTCCAGCCTCACAAACTTTGGGGAAATTGGTGCCTGGCAGCGTTTTGGCAACCTCGGATGCGAAAACACCGCCAGGCACCAATTTCCCCAAAATTCATACAGCTGAACTCTGACGGCCTCCATAGATGCCAGGATTTCGGTGATTTTAGGGAAATTGGTGCCTGGCGAGGTTTTGGCACTTCCAGCCTCACAAAGTTTGGGGAAATTGGTGCCTGGCGGTGTTTTGGCAACCTCGGATGCGAAAACACTGCCAGGCTCGAATCTCCAAGATTCCTGAAACCTGAAATGCAAAGGTCATAGAAGAACAGCCGTACCATGCGCTCATACATGAGCCTTCAATTGCTTCCGTTCTCAAGTGTGCTCTTGCTTCTTTCATCGAACAAAGTCATAGCTGTTGTTAAGATCACCTTTGCTCAATGTAAGAAATAGAAGAACAGCTGTATTTTAGAATATTGAAACCTGCTTGTGTTTGTGGATGCTTTAGAACGTTTTTTTGCGAATGCACATGTTCGTTGAACTGTACATCATGTTTAGATGTTGTCGAGCTCTTAAACTCTTGCCCGTAGCTTGAACAAAGAAGAAGTATTCCTTGTATTCTATATGACCTCACAAACTGAAGAAGCTGATAAGCTCCGATATTTCATATCATTACATATAAAGTGCCATTCAGGCGACACTGGGGAACCTGGTAAATGAGCTTTCAATTGCTTCGATTACTGGCGGTACTAACTCTTCTCTTGTGGAGCAAAATCAAGGTCAACCTCGCTCAAGAAGTAAGTCCAGTGTTTGACTGTTTTCCTTAAAGCATAATGAGAAAAGATGTTTTTTCCACCATTTCTTGGAGGCTATGAGGAGAGGTCTGGAGCTGTTTCATGCTGTAGCTATATAACTCTTGCGAGTAGCGCGGTGCAACGGAGCTCGATTATGTGTTCTGAGCCAGGAGCGTCTTGCATCTGTTAAAAAGAAAAAACAAATGTGTTCAATAACGAATGCTTTCCAGATACATGCTTGTCTTAATTCCCACGAAGTATAAAGCATAAGAAGCTCGACATACTATGCTTGTGACCGAATTTATTTGGAGTTTGGTGGAGGGAGACCATGTCTTTCCCTAATCACTCCGATTTTGTGGTATTGGTATACTGCAAGAGCTCGTTGAGTTCCAGCCACTGAGTTCCAGCGACTGATAAGGGACTAAGATGGCTTATTGTGTTTCTTTGTGCTGAAACAAGATTTCTATTGATAACACCACCTGAACAGGAACAACCATGCTTCCCTTGTCGGTTGAAGTTTTGAAGATATGATGTTGTTCGAGGTTCCCTTGAAGCATGAAGATACACGGGGATTCCTTTCCATGTCTGATGGGCAACACCTCTGTTTAGTGTGGTTACAATGTTGCTAGTAAGCCAAACATACCACTGGCATGTTTGCTTTCACTGAAGGAGTTGTCCTTACAGCTTATGTTATGAAGAGAAGAGCAGCTGTGTCTATTCAAACTGTACATCGTAAGTAGTTCGACAAACTCCAAAATAGGAAGGCCAAGTTTTGACTTGAACAGCAAGAGCTGATACGAAGCAGTGGACAAGAGCGCGGCCGCAGAACCAGAATCTGGTTTCGGTTTTGGCTTGTTTGTATATGATATAAAAAGCGAAAAGCCGCATCTGTACATGTACATGAACTGCATAAAACAGCGTAAATACCGATAGATTCTGACTTTAGCAATACGCATCTTGTACCAGAGGACAGTACAGGAGTAGTTGAGGAAAAGGCTGGGGTGGATCATGGGGGGGGGGGGGTGACCATATATATATATATATATATATATATATATATATATAGAGGTATAGATACAAGGCATACATGAGTAGGTAGTGTCTATACAGTTGTGTTTCGGTCTTTATCGCATCGGACCAAACAGGGCCACAGGGTCCTACAACGTACCACTAAATGTGCTTTGCCGGATATTTGTATTATGGATCCTGACCCAAAGGATGTACCGATACAGCAGAATATAGGGTTTCCATATCAGGAATTACTATTATGACTTAGGGAAGTATCCCCCATAACAGTACATAGCACCCTGTGGGTGAACATACGTGCTGGAGCCAGCACTCAGGATCCGCTACAACATCTACCGCACTGGAGGAGGCGAGCGTCGGGACAGACGTCCAGGGCACCACCCCGACCGGCATCTATGTTCCCCATTAGTATGGTTGTGTTGTCTTCAATTTGGGGGTCCTGTACTAAAACTGAATACTAGAAAAAGGGTACGCGTATAATTAAGGGGATGCTCGGGGAATCAACCTAGGTATGCCAGGGAACTCCACGGCGACGCTGAACCAAAGCATCTCCGGATCAGGAGCAGAGACCGGGACGACACCCACTGCCTCCACCACGACCATCTCACTCGAGTCCGAGATCACCACAGTAGCAGTCGAGACCCTGGAGACCTCGGTGACAACGACACGGAGGTTAGACACAGCAGGCAGCGAGGAGGGCAACTTGTCTACGGCTACCGAAACTGCGACATCCACAAGTTCGATGAGCAGCTTCTCAGCCCCAAACTCCACTGGTTCGCCAGAGACCCCGGCGCCTTCCTCCACCACGCGCCAAGATCCCATCTCTACTAGCTCAAGATCCTGGGCTGAGCCGAACATCTCAGCAACTGAGCCCGAAACTACCTCCGAGGCCACGGAAGTCGCCTCGACATCTGAGTTCACTGCCGCCTCGACATCTGAAACAGCTGCTTCGACCACAGAAGCCAGTTCCGCGTCGATCCAGGCAACGACTACAGCACCCAACACGACAACAACATCCGCTTCGTCGACTTCGTCTTCGTCCGCTGAGCCGCCAACAAGTGCAGCTGCTGCCACGACCTCCGGGGGTACGTCATCTCCACCACCGTCTTCCTCCACAGAATCATAGCGGTTGAGTATAGCCAACCTTTAACCGTTTGGGCATATAAATACATGATCCGACCATAATGGAAAAGGTGAACTCTTCTTGGCTAGTGGCTAGGGTACACTGCCCCTGAGGAATATACCACAACATCGTCTTCAGCCTCAATTCACTCGTCGAGCACATGGGCGCTCAACCATACCGAGGACACCGTGCTTTGCAGCCCAGGGGGAGAATCGCTTGGAGCAGGGTACCTCTTTTGAGATCTGCCGTTTACGGATCTTACTGCAATACTTCTAGGGCTCATGTTGCCAAAAGCAGGTTCCCAACATGCAGGCTCTGACAAAAGAGCTTGAGGGATCTATTAAAGGGCTTGGGGAGTCCTGGTAAACCCTGGCCCTAAACCCTAAACCCCTAGACCCTAAACCCCTGGCCACTGCTGTAGGGCTCTATTGACGGGCCCTTTTAGGGAGTCCACCGTGGATGTTCCCATTTTGGAAGCCACCCTTCTCCACTGCCATTTCCCACAAACAGGCTCAGGGTTTAGGGTTTGCGGCTGAGGGTTGAGGGTCTTGGTTCAGGGTTTAGGTTTTACCTGGAGGGTCGGGGGGCTTATAGTAACTGGTTATTTTAGGGACTTATAAGTACCATAACCCCATTCAGGGTCTGAAAAAGGGCACTTATAAGTCTACTTACTGCCTACTTACTAAGTCACCCGACCCTCCAAGTAGGGTTTAGGCATGGTCTGCATAGTCTTTCCCTAGAGCTCCAGTTCCCTGGCTGGTGGGTTACTAGGTTACATACTAATTAGACGGTTCGTAGTTCGTACCCTACTATTTAAGTTGCTGGAGCCTTAGTCCTTCCCTAGACCGTAAACTTAGGCCCCAAACCCAGTGTTCCGTGGCCTGGCGCCCTAACTTCGCTAACCCTAAACCCTAAACCCCCTAACTTCGCTGGCGACATCATGTCTGAACTTGAGCTCAACAGGCCCACGAAGCCAGGATTATGGTGTGGCGTTTTATCGCACTTGTCTGCAGAGAACACGAGTCTTTGTTTGTAGATGCCCTAAATCCTAAACTCTAAGGTCTAAACCCTAAACCCCAACGCTTAAACCCTAAAGTCTAAGCCTTTAGCCCTAAACTCCTACACTCCTAGAGCCTTTTGGTCTTCGAGCTTCGTAGGCTCCTTCCAAACGCTTCCTAGACACTCCATAAGGACTAGCCCTTAAACTTAAACTAGAACGGGTTTAGGGTGCAGGGATAAGGGGATCCTTCATATGATTTTTGTACATACTGTAGTTGCTTCGACGGTAAGGGGATCCTATCAGGATGACGTGAGGAATATGCCTTGCTTTACTGGGCTCTTGTTAAGGACTTATAATTTAAGTTACCCTAATAGTGGTATCTATACTAAATAATGTGGTTCCTTTTCATGGTAACCTAAACTAAATCCCTTATAACAAGAACCCAATTTCAAGCGTTTTTGGAGTCTCTGGGAAGGAGGGACCTGCCAACCGCACGAACACCTCGCAGACGCGGCTCTCTCGCGCAGTAGCCCGGTCGAAGCAGTCTTTGGAGATTTCGGGGCTACTTCGGGGTTTAAGTTTTAGGGTCTAGTAGGGGATCTATGTTCCGTGTTTCGGGGCTATATACTTCGGGATTAGGGTTTAGGAGCTTATGGGGTTTAGGGTCTAGGCTTTAGGGTTTAGGGGCTTATGAGGTTTAGGGGTTAGGGGTTTATGGGGGGTTCGGGGCTACTTCAAGGGTCTAGAATGGCGGATCTATGTTTCTTGAAAGGTGTTTAATGTGGGTTGTAATGGTTTTGGCTCAGGGTTCAGGGATGTTTAGGGTTTAGGCTTTTGGGTGCTAGTTTGCGTAGGGTGCATTATGTGTTGCTTCAAACGGCCCTGAGTTTCGGACAGGTTTCGCCTCCGAAACTTTTCAAGCCTGGGCCCCACTTTTCTGAAAATCCTTGTTCTAGTAAGTCCTATAGTAGCTGAATATGTAACCTTTAAACTTTGGGTGGGGGGGATTTCATAATCCTAGCTACCATAGTTCAAAAGGTTGCCTTGTTTTGGGCCAGGGTATTCAGCCCCAAAGTTATACGGCTCTGAACCTTTCTCACGACGCCCCAAACTTTCACCAAGCCTGGTTTGGGGTTTAGGGCTTAGGGGTTTAGGGGTTAGGGTTTAGGGTTTAGGGTTTGGGGTTTAGGGTTTGGGGTTTAGGGTTTAGGGTTTGGGGTTTAGGGTTTAGGGGTTAGGGCTTAGGGTCTTTCAGGTCACCCGGGCGCGCGCATCGGAAGTTGCCAAGCACGAGGCGCACATAGTATTTTTGAGGTTGCCATAAAAGTAAATCCCTAAACCCTAAACAACAAACCCTAAACAAAAAACCCTAAGCAATCAATACAAAACAGTATACCATAAACAACAAACCCTAAACAGTAAACCCTAAACAATAAACCCGAAACTCTAAACCCTAAACAAGAGACCCTAAATAACAATCCCTAAACCCTAAACAGTAAACCCTAATCTCCAAACCCCAAAACCAAAACAACAAACCCTAAATCCTAAACAAAAAACCCGAACAGGTTTCGGTTGCAGTGCCCGACATGTGGCGGGTTCCTGGCGTAGGGTTCTGGGTCCTGAAATCTGGGGGCCCCAACTAGCCCAAACTGGTACAATCAGGTTTTTTTTGGCGGGCTGGTTGGACTCTCTGAGTGCACACTGCATGCAAAGTCTGACCCCTCATGTCTCGACACCTCGCCACTCAGTGGGTAGGCGTCGCGAAAGAGCATCCCAATCCGGATCGCTCAAAGTATGAGGACGCAGAATGACTCTGCCCCCGAAAACCTGGGCAGCCCAATGTTTGCTACCCAGCTTCGCCGTGCTCTGCACTGGCGGAAGGTTGGCCAACTCAATCAGAAGCGACAGGAGGTCTTGCTTAGCTGGAGAGAGGCCTAAGTGCGAGAGAGGGAGGTCTTCGGTCGAGATGTTGTGAAAATCCCTGCGCTCTACAATTTGTTTAACTCTGTTAAGCAGATCGGAGCCATCGCACTTACAAAATTCTTTATAACCCCGTAGCCATCTGGGCTCAAGCCTTACATGATCAGTCGGGGCTTCATCCGGCTCGAGTCCCGCCCACCAGGGGCGGGGACCGACCAGGGGCACAGCTGGAAGCCATGCAACGTGCTCGCTGACCGCTCGTGCCGGGACTTCGCTGGGCAGGTCTGCAGCGGTCGTGATTCGAAGGCAGCGCGGTGTCTTGCGCAAGTGTAGCCTGAGGCGCTTATTGGTCCAAAACTCTCGCCCGCAAACGTTGCAGGCCGAGCCGCAAGCAGCAACAGCAGACTGTGCACGCTGTCCGTGGATCTTGCTGGCATGTGAAGCCAGGGCAGCTTTGCTGGCAAAGTTGGCATTGCAAACAGAACAGGTGTGCACCTGAACGCTACCAGTCTGTTCGTCCAGCTTGCAAAATAGGCAGCCTGTCTCCCTAGCGTCTTGCATGGCTTGAAAATGTGCACGCTTGCTGTGCTGGGTGGGCTCCCGATCTCCCACACATTTTTTGATGTATGCTCGGGCCCACACTCTTGCCTTCTGAGGCTCGCGCTGTAAGAGCTCCCATCCCGCATCAGAAGAAAGGCCGAGGCGGTGGAGAATAGAGCTGAGCGCTGCCCGGGCATCATCGTACCACCCACCTGTAAGCCAAAGCTGGTGGAGGCGGGCATCTGGCTCGGCTAAAATCCAGCCCAACTGGCGCAGCAGATCGGAGGCACGCATCTCCTCGGCCGTGGCGAGACCAAGGATGTGCACAACATCTTCATCCTTCATGCCTTGGATGGACAAGCCTGTTATGAGCCGTAAGGTCCGGCGGGGGGCCTCATAATAGGCCGCACGATATTTGGCCAGGTCTTGCTTGGAGATCAGGCGCCAGAGCCCTGCTCCGTGCCGCAGCCTGGCGAGCGGCATTGCCCGCAGCATGTTGCGCTTCTCGGTCTCGCTCACATTCGGGCTGCGGAATAACTTTTGCAAAGGCGGCAACATCTCTCGCATTAGCCCGGTCCTGTAGGCAAGCGCAGCCTGGTCATTCTGAGAGGCCGTGAGCTTAGCCCCCAAGTGAATATAGTGGGGCGTCATGTGAATACGGATGGCAGTGCCGCCTTCGCAGACGTCGATGCCTGCGCCCTTAGTGCACAACCACTCTTGGCGGTCTTGCCGGGAGCCTGCTCCGTGGAAGATGGGCAGGAGCTCGGATTTTCCGCGGGCCAAATTGACCTCTACTCCGATCGCTCGCAATTCCGAAATGATCGTGAGCATGATCCTGACAGTTCGGTCCATGAGCTGCTGGCCGTTGGCGGCCCGAAGGGGCACCGCTAGGTCGTCCATCCAGCTAGGGGCCGGTAGTTCACCGGCTCCCGAGCTAGTGTCATGTCGAAGCTGTGCGTCCCGGCTGACCTCTGCCATCACCTCCTCTACACGCGTAATCACACCTGAGAAGAGCATCTGAAATTCGATGTCCGCCAGCGGTGAGCCGGGCGATGTGCCTGTGCGCGTACGATAGTAGTGTCGCGGCTGGTCGCCTATGGCATACCATGTGTTTTGCAGGGATGCGACCAGCAATCTCCGAACTGGTTCCGTGACAGAGGTCTGCTGCAAGAGGCTAGGCCCCACGGCTTCCGCCACGAACTGCAATCGCTCTTGCGGGTCGCTAAAGAGAGCCTCGGCGAGGTTGTTGATGTAGTCCGTCGCACTGGCGCTGTCCGCGCCAAGGAGCCGTTCTCTGGCAGTCGCATAAAACGCAGACTTTCCATCTACGAAAAGAAGTCCGCCTGTCTGCTTCGACTCATGGAGCCGCCAAAGATGTCCTTGAGCGTACGCCATGGGGATTTGCAGCGGAGATCCGCGCCGACTGCCGCCTTGTGCCGCCGTTCGTATCTGCTCAAAAGCTCGCACGAGCGGGCGACGCAGCATGTGACTCAGCCCCTTCGACGAAGCCTCGCTCAGTAAAATCGCTCTCCATGCGTCGAGGGTCTGCGGTCCCTTATTTGGTTTCGGGATGGCAGCAGCCACCCCCCCGCGCCAGAGGCCTGGGAGGGCCCCACGGAGCTGGGCCTTTAACACCAAGGTGCTGTGTGTGTGAGCCGCCCCTATCGGGTCCGCCTTGTAGAGTTCGCTGGGCAGGCCCGAAGGCCCTGCAGCCCTTCTTACCTTCAGTTGGCCGAAACTACGAGCGAGACTCGGCAGGTTAAGGTCAGCCTGCGCCTGAAGGGCCTGCTGAGGAGGGGGAAGGGCTGAGGTAATAATACTAGCCCCATCGCATTCCAGAGCCCGCTCAGCGGCGGCAAAGTGCCGTCCCAGGGCTTGGTGTGAGTCTTCGACTATCCGCCCTTGAGCATCCTGAATGCTGGGCTGTAGAGGCGGAGCACGGTAAGTGGTAGCTGGCCGTTGATGCCGCCATCCCGTAAAACAGGCCCTAAGAACCCTAATGCGAAAACCGGCACGATGAATGTGCATGGCTCGTCGGTGCTCTCGACGATCTTGAATCGCTTGCCACGTGGGCTCCTGTAGGATACCTGACCTCGGCTGTGCCGGCTGCCTCGGAAAGGCCTGATGCAAGGCTTTGCAGAAGTAGCTATTCAGGATGGCCAAGTGGGAATCTACGTCTGTCTGCCATGGAACTGTGGGGGCTTGATCAAAAATTCGCCGAACAGCCTCCCTGCCTTCCTTGGTCACCATTTGCCGAGTATCAAAACGTGGTCTTGGAGAGCTCTGGCGTCCTGGCTCCGTCCACTGGAAGAGGGCCTGAAGGGGCCGATGGTCGTGGTCGGACACTCCTACAAAGGACTGCATGACATGGTGACTGGAACGTGCGCAGGCCACAGAACTGGGACAGACAATGTAGTCAAGACAAAGGTTGTGCCGCTGGAGGCCAACCCATGTGACACATCGCTGTCCTGCTGGGGTCACATTGGGCGTAGCCACTAGATCGTGACCACACATGAGGTCAGCAAAAAGCCTTGCGTTAAGGTTATCAGCCGTCTCCTTGCTCGGAGGACCTGCGTGCCATTGGAAGTGCGCGTTCGAGTCAATGAGCACAAACGGCACGTGCTTTGGTGGCAGCCTTGTGATTGCCGCCTCCAGGTCCGCCCACCAGGCTCTGGCCTCAGCCGCAGGCACTTTGGTGGTGAGCGCGTGGGCAATCACAAAAGCGAATTTGTTGGCTGAAGTTCGGGCCGTCGCAACCAGAATGCGCGGACGGTCTAGAATAATTGACAGGCTATTTGGTTCCCAATAGAGGGGCTGACCTCCAACGGCCCCGAGTGGCTGTCGCTTGGCAAGCCACAGCTGGCATCCGAGCTGGCCGTCCACTGGCTTGCTGCTAAGGATGTAGTAATGTGGTGACTCGCTGCGCGGACCTTCGTAGATTCTGGTCTCTTGGAGACCAATGGCCGCCAGACCAGCAGCTGCGAATTGTTGGTCCAAGCTTTCTTTGTGCTCAATGCGCTGTCTTGTGAGACAGTTATACGTGGCAAGATGCAGCTCGAAATCACAGGACTGGTTGCCAGTTTTAGAGGGCGCCTCAAGAAGCTGATCCAGCGCAAGGCCAGCCGATCCCTGGGCAGTGTCTCGCAAAACACCGTCCGCAGCAATGTGCGGTAGGCCTGTGTGCATATTGCATGCGGCCCAAAGCCAGCTGAGCACATTATCCTGCAGAGCCTCTTGCAAGGCAGCACTGAGGCCGACAGGCTGTTCAGGACCGGCAGCTGCTTTGGCCAGGATATCCACAAAGTCATTGAAAGGATGGCCGGTATGTGACTTCAAGTGTATGCTGGCCGGCATGCAACGGTGCTGTCGCAGAAGATGCATCTGGGCTATGCAAGCCTCCCCGAGCGGACTGTGATCTGCCTCGGTTGCCCTACCCAATGCTACATCGGCCGCAGACGTGTTATCATATCCCAACAGGCATGGCCTTCGCGCCTGAACACAGAATGCCAGAGCATACACCCAAGCTGCCAATTCGACTTCGTAGGAAGACCTCACAGGGTGGCCTAAAGTACTGACACTGCCTTGGATCGGGGCCGAAACTGCCAGATAGCCTGCGTAGGCCCATTGGTGCTGGTCAGCAACAAGGACAAAAAGCGCCCAGCCGGCTTTTGCCTCAGTGCGGGCCGTGGCTGGGTAGTAAGATCCGTCGATGTAAATCTGCATGGCTTGGAAGTCCCCTCCTCCAAAGAGAGGGAGACTCCAAATTGCTGCAGCTACCTTCGTTGGCAAAATGTCTGGAGGAGGCCGGCTCTGGCAAAGATTGCTCAGGCTAAAATCCCCGAAAACAGCCTCGAACATTTCCCCCGAGACACCAAGACACAATTCGCTAGCTTGCTTCGCAGGAGGGACAATCGGACACAATTGGTCGAGGCACAGCTGCTTGCAGGTAGCGGTCACCGATGAACCGGCCGGCTGCTGAGCGGGGAGCCGACGTCTGCCAAAGGGTGTGGGTATTCCTCCAGCCTGTTTTGTGGCTGTCGGCGCGGTTTGCGCCAAAAGGGCTGGAAGCTGCAAGAGGCTGTGATCCTCATGCTCTCCGTCAACTGCATCGGGCTGCGCGGGGTTCTCTACCTCCTCTGGCCCCATTTCTGGCTCCCAGACTTCGATCCTGAGGGTATCAGCGCGTGAGGCACGGAAGTGCTGGATTGCCTGAAGGTCAGCCTGCAGGAAATCCTGAACCGGACCTAGGGCATCCTGTACTAGTATTTGCCCGGCTTCCACTGCTTGATTCAGGTCCAAAGCCTGGCGAATGTGGGTCTGGACCTGTGCGATGGCCTGCGCCCTTGGCTGGCGGCTCTCATGGCGGAGAGTGACAATCGATTCCCCAAGAGGACGGAGGTCCCAGGGGAGCGAAGCTTCAGTTAATGGCCGTCCAGCCTCAAGGAAAACCAGCTGGGGCTGGGGCAGATCTGGCAAGACATGCGCAAGCACGATCACTCCAACGGGGGTGAAAGGCAAAGTGGACAAAGCCAGTGCGATCTGCTCCATCAAACTTGCAGCAGGCATGCATCGCTCCTGGGTGACATGCCGAACATGGTCGAATACAGTAAATCGGCCTTGCCGTCCGCCTTCTGCACCTCCCCAGCTAAAGAGGTGGGAAGGCGACGTAAAAATCGGTGCGGCTCGCAGGGTCTCAGGCCAAACTCTCAATGCCTCTGCGCGGATGATTGCAATTTGGCCCGGGCTGCGACCTCCTATGGCTGCCCGGCTTGGTGTGGGAGGTGTGACCAGCACCGGCTCCCCTGAGGGTGAAGTACTGCATGCTGGCTGTGGTCCGCTGACTGCGGCGAGGTTCACACCAGGGTCCGACAGGGTACCGCCCTTTGTGTGGCAAGGATGGCAAATGAGTGGCAGTGGGGAGGTTGCCTCAACTGTCGCATTCGATACACGGCCTACCCTTGCTACGGAAAATTTCTGTACAGCCAAATCACTCTGAGTTGGATCCACCGACTCGTGTTTCTCGATCCCTAAGAAGTCACTCTCCTCATCAAGCACCTCCCTTGGTAAAGACATGCACCGAAGGGCAGCTCGGAATGAGAGCGAAATCTCCGAGAGAGGCGCACGCTTCGGCAGACCCAACGTGGCTGCTGCGGGCGCTGGTGGCTGAAGACGTCTCCAAGAGCGCACGAAAAGGTTCACTGTAGTACGTGCGTCCCCTTCATCTGGCTCGAAACTGACTTTCATTCGAACTCCATGCTGCCGTCGATGGAGGCAGCTCCGCAGCCCCGCATGGCTGCCCAAGAGCTGCGGACTGACAATTGCTTCCTCCTGGGCGAGGCTGTCTCCTGTAGCAGAACTGTTAGGAGTGCCTTGTCGCTGGCACTGGAAATAAGTGTCTGCCAGCATGTTGAGCTGCTTGCTATCGGAGTAGACCACAAAGGACTCAATGTGTGTCTCCTCGATTCGGCTGTCTCTGGCCCCTCGGTAGGTCGCCAGATCATAGTTCATAATCAAGGTGTTCGGCTCATCCTCGAGCCGCGGATCTGCCCACCATGTCATCGCTGAAAACTGCTCAACCGCCAGAGCATCCTGGCAGGAAATTTCGTATTGTCGAAGGAAACCCAACCACTGTCCCAGATAGGGTCCCACGTAGTTGCCCTCGTCACATACACCCAGCATCTCAAAGCCTCCTTGAAGATGCCGATGCTCCGGCCCGTACGTAGCTCCGAGGCCTACGCGTGGGCCTTGCCAGGGTCCAAAGGCGACAATCCAAGCTGAAAGGCAGGTTGACCAGCTGCCTGCTCTGATTGCCCGGCCGGCTTGCCTTTGTTGCCATCGCCGGCCCCTTCTCTGCGTCGCGGCGATCTGGAGCTCTCTCTGCCTTGGTGAGCTTGGAGCTGTTCCTCGGCTTGGTGGCGCACCTTTCCCAGTGCTTCTATCAGCTCGCGGGACGCCTGCTGCTGCTGTTCCGAAGTAGCCCGAAGTCTGGCCTCCTCCTCGATCGCATTCTGCACTGTGGTCTCCGCGGTCTCCATCTCTTCGCTGCTGTTGTCCGGCACCTCGACTGTTTCCTTTTCCACAGCCAACTTGGCTAAGGTTTGGGATGCCGCCTGCTCCGCTTGAGCCCATTGAAGCTCGCTTTCGTCGAATTGGGCGAGCACCTGAGCTTGCTCGCGAATTTGTGTGTCCAGCATGGTGGTCACCTGCGTGATGTAATCTTTCCAGGCGGTCATGTAGGCGATTCTGTTGGCCTGCACCTTGTGCAAGGCCTGTTTCGCCTTCGTCTGTTCTGTCACCGCTCTGTGGAGCGTTCTGGCCGTAGTCTGTGAAATTGCCTGCTGGTAGGTAGCCACCATCTGTTGAGCTGCTTCCGGCAACTCCACCGACGACGTCGCAAGCATAGCCAACAGCGAATTCAGCTGTTGCTTCTCTTGCGTGTGCTCCACGTCGGCTGTCGGCTTTCGCGGATGTGTCGCTGCCGGCGCCGTCGGAGGTGCTGGCAGACTGTCCGTGCTCGGTGGCGTTGGCACCGAACTGGTAGCTCCTTCTGCGGCCTGGCTTGGTTGCACAATGCCCTTGCCTTTGCCCTTCTGACTTGCATGGGCAGGCTTGCCTCGTCCCTTGCCCCGCTTGCGGGGCGATCTGGGGGACTGAGCCCGTTTCTGGTAGGAGCCCCATCCACTCCAGCCAGCTGGCTCCTCGCGCCAGGGGGCACCCGATTGGCTCTCCCAGGCGTACGGTGGCTGTCCTTCGGCCACCTGCTGCCAAGCTCCCCCACAGTTGGGGCAAAAGCTGGCACTCGCTTTGCACGTAAGCTTGCATCTGCCACATCGCCATCCCGAGCTTGTAGCCATTGCTCCCAGCTGCAGGCGTCGAGTGGCTGCTTGCACTAGAAAACTTCTGGAATGATGCCCGGCCAGGTGAGCCACTGCTCTCCTCGCCGCTTGCTCGCCTGGATCCTGTCCCGCTAGGAAAGCCCGCAGTTGAGATCTGGCAGCTGTCCGCTGCCGTCGTCGCCTGCGGTGCCAGGCTTGTTCTCCAGCTGGTCTCAATGTTCTCGCCGTTGAGAGAAATCAGCGATAGGACCCCCAAAAAACGTTGGAAAAGACCCATGCACCAAGAATGCAAAGGAATATCCAAGAGGAGACTTCAGAACAAGGATCGGCCAATTAAACAGCAGCGAGCCTGTCCGAAGAAGAAGATGAGGAAGTAGTACCTGCAACCGTCGGCCGAAGCAGCGATGGCGCAGTACCTGCTGTGTGGGCACTCCGGCCTCACTTGGGTCGCGCGGCCTGGGCGAGCCTAGGAGAACCTAGGCAAACTAGCCCTAAGCCGAGACGCCTGGTACAATCAGGTTTAGGGTTTAGGGTTTATATTGTTTGGAGTTTAGGGGTTTAGGGGTTAGGGGATTAGGGTCATAGACTTTAAACCCGCAGAGTAGGTACTAGTTGTATACTTGCAGCTTTAGGGGGAAGTCCTCCCAGAACCCTACATTTCGGGAGTTTTGGGGTGCAGGACCTATTTAGGGTGCTCAGTTCAGTGGCCCCTCAGCAGCCCGAAACCTCAGGCCTGCACCAGGTTCTGCGGGTCAGTCCCATGTTATAGGAACTTGCGTCTGTATTTTCCCAAAGGGTCCACAGTACCTACATGGGAGAATGTAGGGTTTCTATAATAGGAAATACTATGATGATTTGGGGAAGTATCCCCGATAACAGTACCTAGGACCCTTTGGGTTTGTTGATCTTTATCCAGCTGCGGGCTCCACATAGCCCGAAGTAGGTACTACGGTGGATGATATAAATCCTGCATTACCTTAAGCACCCTAAACTATGGGAATTATGGTATATTCCTTATTATAGGTAATGCAGGATTTATATCACCAACAGTAGTTATAGTATAACAGTCATAGGCGTTAGGTACCAAAGTGCAGGTACTGTTTGTACACCCGGACACCTATAGTAGCTATAGGTCAGAAGCAGGTTTGATCGTCGTTGATTGTGACCGATACGCATGCTCACTGAAGAGAAGAGCCTGACAGTTCAGGGGGAATGACTTTGCAGGGTTTAAGCAAGTGTTGGTATCAGAAGCATCTATACCTGTATGTACACTTTCTCGGGTGTTCGGTCCAGGTAGAAATTACTTTGGGGGTTTGGGGTTTAGGCCCTCCGGAAAGTTTGTTTTTAGGGCCTGGCTATCAAAAAAGAAAGTATCGGTTGATTCACTGACTACGCCACCTGATTCACCAATGATGCCAGAGACTCTGTTGATCCCCCACATGACCACTAGAAATCAAGGTGGACCCCAAACCCTAGATCAACTCCAAACTGAAGCAGGCCAAACACGAAAATTCAACTACTCAATTCAGAAGCCAGGCCTTTGGAATTTGCGGTTTGTAGGGTAGTACATAGACCCCCAACGCGCTTTTTGCATCCTAAACTCGTGCCCTGAACAGTAACTTAACCCGTTGGAGAACTGGAACTGCCTACAGAGTCATACGTACCCTTGCAGTATATACTTAGCGCTTACAGGGGCTTCTATATACCTTAAGGCATAAGTATGTGCTATATAACTATATCGGCAATAGGTACATGAGCCTCAGGGAAACCGTGTACGAGTCTACACCCTAGAAACCCCCAGTCTTGAACCCTTTGGACATTTTTAAGGAAGCCTTTACCCTAAACCGTAAACCATTAAGTCAGCATCGCCCTAAACCATAATCCCTAGACCCTTTAAGCTTACCCGTTCAACCCAAAATCCTCAGCCCTATAAGCCTTGTAAGTATGCATCGCCCTAAACCCTATATATGAAAGCCCTAAACCCTCAACCCTATAAACCCTCAGCCCAATAAGCCTTATAAGTAACCTAAACCCTAAACCCTAAGCCGTAAACCCTATACACCCAAAACCCTACATCCTAGAAACACTATACCCCTCGACCCCATAAGCCCAAGACCCTAAACCCTCCAAACCCATAACCCTAAAAGCCCAAAATCAACCCATAACCCTATAACCCTAAAAGCCCTACTCTGAACCCATAACCCTAAAAGCCCAAACTAAACCCATAACCCTATATCCCTAAAAACCCTACTCTAAACCCATAGCCCTAAAAGCCCAAAATAAACCCTCTAAACCCATAACCCTAAAAGCCCAAAATAAACCCATAACCCCATAACCCTAAAAGCCCAAAATAAACCCTCTAAACCCATAACCCTAAAAGCCCAAAATAAACCCATAACCCTATAACCCTAAAAGCCCTACTCTAAACCCATAACCCTAAAAGCCCAAAATAAACCCATAACCCTATAACCCTAAAAGCCCTACTCTACACCCATAACCCTAAAAGCCCAAAGTAAACCCATAACCCTATAACCCTAAAAGCCCTACTCTAAACCCATAACCCTAAAAGCCCAAAATAAACCCATAACCCTATAACCCTAAAAGCCCTACTCTGAACCCATAACCCTAAAAGCCCAAAAGTAAACCCATAACCCTTTAACCCTAAAGGCCCAAAATAAACCCATAACCCTATAACCCTAAAAGCCCTACTCTAAACCCATAACCCTAAAAGCCCAAAATAAACCCATAACCCTATAACCCTAAAAGCCCTACTCTAAACCCATAACCCTAAAGGCCCAAAATAAACCCATAACCCTAAATAAAGCCCTAAAAGCCCTAGAATCAAAGGGGAAAAGGAGGGACCCTTAATGGGGACCCCTACCCTATAATGGGCTCTATAATGGGTATATAATAGCTATATTAAGGGTATATACCTAGGGGTCCTTATTCAGGGTCCCTCCTTTTACCCTTGGATAGAAGCAAGCCTCTAAACCCTCCAAACCCATAACCCTAAAAGCCCAAAATAAACCCATAACCCTATAACCCTAAAAGCCTAAACCCCTAAAACCCTAAACCCCTAAACCCTAAACCCTGACAGGCCGAGCATGCGGAGACCGAGGCTTTGGCGCTGTCGCGGCGAAAAGCGGAGGAGGCGGAGGAAGCCAAGGCTTCCCTGGAGGCTTGGGGGGGGGGTGGGGCTCCCTTAAAGGGGACTATAGGGTCCTTTAAAGGGTACTATAAGATAAGGGTTTGTTCTATAAGGGTACTATAAGGGTACAGGCTTGGGGGGGTTTAGGGTTCAGGTTTAAGGTTTTTAGGGGTTTAGGGTTTAGGGTTCAGGTTTTGGGTTTGGAGGTTTAGAGTTTACTATCAGGGTTGTATATGGGTACTATAAGGGTTCTGTAAGGGTACTGTAAGGGTTCTATAAGGGTTCTATAAGGGTTACTATAAGGGTTCTATATGGGCCCCTCTAGAGGGTTTCGGGTTTAAGGGTTCCTATAAGGGTTCTATAAGGGGTTTGGAGGCTTGGGGGGGGGGGGGTTAGGGTTTAGGGTTCAGGTTTAGGGTTTACGGGTTTAGGGTTTATAGGGGTTTAATTAGGGTTTAGGGTTTTAGGGTTTGGGGGGTTTGGGGTTTAGAGTTTGGGGTTTGGGTGGTTTAGGGTTTTTAGGTTTAAAGGTTGGAGGGAGGGTTTATAAGCTTGGAGTTTTGGGTAAGCATTTCAGGGGTTGCTTTTTAGGGGTTTTGCACTGATTCCTGCGACTTGCGGTTTACAATAAGGGTGGTACAAAGGCAAAAAAAGTTTGGCGCCGTAGAAGGTTTTTTTGCAAGGTGGGCGAAAAGTAGTTGAGGGGGTTTTGCGGTTTCGCATAAGTTTTGGGTTTGGGCTTCTGGCTTCAGGTGCTTCTTTTTTGGTTAGCATAGGCGACACCGGGGTTTGATGCAGTAGGGGCTGCTCTGAGTGGTGTGGACAACATGTCCGCAATTTTGCATACCCAGACCCGGGAGGATCTAGAAAGTAAATCCCCTAATTTGGGGGCCCTGTACTATTAAGGGTGCTGTATAGGAACCCTCATAAGGGATCTACTGTTTGGATCCTCCCGGGGGTCTGGGTAGATGCGGCAGATGCAGCGGGTTTCGGGCTCCTCAAGGACACAGCGGATAGTTCGTTCCTCGTGATCTTACTTAGGATCGTGGGATTTATTTTGTACTTAGGGTTATCAACAATTGCAAGGTAACATTATCTTTTTAAACTACTACAAACCAAATAAGATGCTTGTAGCCTTATCATTACCGAGTTCCATGATGCCATGTCCACTTGGAGGTTCATGGATAGCTTATGCAAAGGTAAGGAAGTAGGAAGTATAGTGACAACCTATGTTAGGGGACTTAGCCCTGCTTATAACTACCCGAAACATGAGCTGCGCTGCACCTGCGAAGCTACTTATGTTTGAGGCTTCAAGGGCATCTGTTTCATCTCGGAATGGAGACACAACTTCCCTGCGCCAGTGTAGCGAGCAGCCCTGCTCAGTTTCGGGCTTCATGAAGGGTTTTTGGGTCAAGTAGTTTTAAGGGTTTAGGGTGTAAGGTAGCGGTTGTCACAAATCAACCCAAGAGAAAACTATCTAGTCTGAGTGGTAAATCCCGTTTGTGAATGGAGTAAAAAAACGATCCCAAGATCCAGACTTGTTTCATTGGAGTAGAGTTCGAACCCCAAATTCAAACACTGAACTCAAACCTTAACTTATAATGGCGGAAACGCTGAGTTGGCTGAACCCTATTCCCTACTCAACCCTATCACACCAAAACCTTATACCGAATCCCCAAATAAAGCTTTTCAATTTCAAGCCGCATATTAAACCGTACGAAACCTTCCTCGGACACGAGGCGGCCAAAAAAGCCTTAGACGCCGCTTCCGAGCGTCGCGTCCAGGCGACCATCAAGGCCAAAGTGGGTTGAGGTTCAGGGGTTTCGGGTTTCAGGGTTTAGAGTGCATAGTGTTTTGTTTGTTTGCGGCT